TTTATACACATAAAAATATTTTATACACATAAAAATTAATTTATACACATAAAAAATAATTTATACACGTAAAAAATAATTTATACACATAAAAATTAATTTATACACGTAAAAACTAATTCAGAGACAATAAATAATTTTCACACGCTCATTATATATTTATGATGTAATTTAATTTCGTGCCCATATAATTATTGTAATTTGAATACAATATAGTAATATAAAGGATTTATAACGAATTTATCTTATTAGTGTTGGATATTAAATTTGGTGAACGATTAATGAATTGTTAAAAAAAAATTGTAATAATTTATTTATGCCTGGCGCCTGATTAATTCCATTCAATATACGTGTATAAAATGCGTACATAAAATGTCAGGCCTGATTAATTACACACTATATGTAAAATCATTTTTTATGATATTTACGATTATCCGGCGCCATTCATCGCGTTTGTTTGCCATCAGCTGTAGCTCGCATTATTTATGGATGACATATTGAATAATAATTAATATTTAATTGGCGGATGCTGCCTTATTGATAGCCTTTATATATTGATCTTTGTCAATATTGTTTATTATCTTATTATAGATTTTATGTTTTTTATTGACATTTTTTGGTATACGATCCTTTTGAAATTATCAAAATTAAGTAAGTATATGTTTTATTTGCTTCTGAAAGTTTTTAAAAAATATTGTTATTGTTAAGAAATTTATTAGCGTTATATAGTTTTTTAATTGCTTTATCTATATAATATCGGGTCTAAGCATTATTTTATTTATATATACGAGTTTTTTTTTGGCGGTTAGTGAAACATTATATTTACTAAATAAGGTTTTACCTCTAAATTATATAATAAAATGAATTTTATTATTTATTTTTACTATTGATCTATTCTTTTCTATTGATCAATTCTGAATAATCAATGATTCTTGTAAAATTACATTCTAGTTAATCTTATATATAACTTTTTACACTATTTAAAGTACTTTTTTTATTAAGTACTGAATTTTTTTATAATTTACTAAAATAAATAGTATAGCAATGTTTTGCATTGCCTTTGCATTGTGTTACACTGAGGGGTCCTGGGTTCTCATGGACGTCTCAACAACGTAAAAGCAGGGCTTGAACGCCTTTAGTGTATTTGAAGCTGTATCTGGAGACCAGATAAGCCTTAACAGTGTTCAGTCGGAGTGTTTCGTCCGCTTGGGCGGTCTCTGGGGAGGCCCTGCCGAATGCCCTACCAGTGCCTATACATGCCTACATGCCTCTTCCTGTGACAGGAAGGTGCGCAGGCACTTAGCTTCACCAAGGAGCTACTAGTCCGCGGCACCCCGAAGAGGTGGCTGGCATATACCCCGGAATGTTTGTCATCATAGTATATTTCAAATCTGTGTAAAGAAATATACTTTATTTCAAGGGGATTTTTAATTAAATTTTACTTTCTCCAAATACGATTGTCATGTTGGGTAAAATCTACGTTTAATAGAACAGCATAAATGGTACAAAAAGCTTAAACCTGAATATATAATCTAAAGTTGCTCCATTTTTTCTACTTTTAAATAGGGGACATTTCTATCGAACAAATTTGCATTCCTTCCGAATCTCTAGCCTTTTGGGGCATCGGCAAACTGCTTTTAGTGTCCTTTGTGGATGCAAGTTGATAGAATAAACCTCGCGCCGGCCTTTTTGGTGCAGAGCCATTGGGGGAGACATGGAATTTTCGATTTTTGTTATCATAGAGAACTTAGTATCAACTTTCTATCTCTTAAGGGTGGGGTTTGAAAATTTTTCTTTTTCCAGGCGGCGGGGGGTATTAAAGAGAACATTCAGTGGGTAAATTTTATGAAATGTCGAAATTCTTGCTATCTGCCATTTTTTCATTAAAACTCACAGCTTATGAATAACTAAATCAAGGTTCGTTTTGAGTGAAATTAGATTTCCAGTTGCGGATGGAAATGTCTTTATTCCCCCCCCCCCCCGACCACTATATTTTTTTGGTTTCGGTTTGAACACGGGTTCCCCCTTTTTGAGGAGTTACTATATTTCTTTTTTGGGCCTCACCTTAGGATGGGGCCCTTCCATTTCCATTCAGGGCTACTCGTTGTTTAAAGTTTCAGTGGAACCGCTTAAGTTCTCCTGTGTCTTCTTGATCTCATCTGTTCTGACTACCGTGCGTGTGGGGACCTCTTCAGAGGTTTTTCTTGACAGTTTTGTTTGGTTCGCTTTTGTATCTTCTTAATTTTCATATGTGCGTTAAGGAACTTCCTATCTGGATACATGCCAGGAATCTATTGCGCTTCCCTTAGACAGACGGAGTGAACAAACTCACATGCAGTTTTTTTCTGAAAACAATGTTTCAAGGTCTACAACTTATTCAAATTAACTGCATAAATGATCATATTATAACTCCTGGAGTATATAAGCAATGATAGGTATTTAACTGTATACGGTTACAACTGCTTACTGATCAGGTTACCTTAAAAGCATTATATGTATGCTTATACGCTGTGGTAATGTTAGTATATGCAATTTGGGGATGTCTTTTCTTGATATTGCAATAATGTGCAATTTTTCGTATTGATAGTCAAATACAATTTCTACCATTTGTTTTTAGCTTTAAGATTTTACTAATACTCTTTTATCCATTAGTGAGTTATCCTTTTTGGTATTATTGTTTTCTTCTAGTTTGATATTTATTTTTATTCTTTTTACAGAATTTATAAGCGTATTCATACAATATATTTGTGTGATACAGAAAATGGGGTGCAATATGGAAAAGATGATTCCTTCCATGGAGGAGCGAAGGACGGTTTCTCAGCGTAAGGAAGCATGGGAGGGAATCAAAAATAAACTCCCTGTTATGAAAACTTCTGAAGGCAAAGCTCTTCGAGAGGAGCTCTTTAGTGTGCTTCATAAACAAGATGCCGATACGATCACTATGGATGAGATGCTGAAGGGTTTAATTGATAAGCTTCATATGGATGAGTTCACATCTCGCTTAAAGTATGTGGTTAGGCGTTCCTTTGGTAAAGTTAAGAAATTACTTGGAGATGAAAGAAATCCTGATAAGGCAAGTTATCGTGAATTTTGTTTAATTATTTCTTACATCTACTTCCGCTTCCAGTTGAGGATTATGCTTGATGATCTTTTTCCAGAGGGCAAGGAAGTGTTCACTTTTGATGACTTTCAGAAGGCCGTTCCGAATCTTAAGGAGTGGGGTTTGAGGATTGGAAGTGCCTCAAGGATTTTCAAAGATATTGACAAGAAAAACAAGGAGTCCATAACCTTTGATCAAATTTCATCGTGGGGTGCCGGAAAGAAGCTGGCCGAGGAGGGCGACCCCGACGAGTTCGAACACGATCAATAGTTGTTTTAACAAGTTTATTACGTTGTGTCCTTATGAGGACTTTAAATTCTATTCATATTTATTTATTGTTCATGAATTTTTACTAGTTTAAAATATCTTTTTCAACCACGTGTGCTGTCAAATGTATGAATGTTTTTATGTTAATTTGTGCATACCTTTCGAATGGTTAACAGGAAACAAAATATTTTCGTGTGTTAAAAAAATATCTTGTAGTGAAACTGAAAATGTAGCACTACAAAGACTCTAATAAACCGAGGGACATGCTATTGACTAATACCCGAGTATTTTAGATCTGACGTCATTAGTTATATCCTAAGCTATTAGTTTATATTTATTCCATGTATTCCGAAACAGCATCCTTTCGTATAATGTGTTCTCTGGATATTATATTAGTCTTTAACTATCTGTTCACAATGCAATATCAGAAACGTATGTATTTAGTCCTTTACATTCCATACTTCTGTCTTGAAATTTAGAAACTGTAAGTCAATTTTACTAAGCTCATACAATATCAAATAGTGGGATATAATGTGTCTAGACACAGCGATACTGTGATGAAGGCCATAAAGTATTCGGTGTTGAAAAGACTTGGGTGAGAATCCGAAAGTGTTTTGCACAAAATCGAAGCTCATGAGTTAAAAGTTCGTCGTATTGTACCATTGAAGCAATTTGTCAAAAACAGAGACATATCGATTGTTGTGTAGGATTTATACGAAGGGCTCAGACAAGAGTTATATTTATGAGTCCTCACTTCACAAATGAAATGTGCTACTTGTTAAATAGTGAATAAGGCTAAGAGTATGTTTAAAATAGCAGGACACTGAAACTGACGTTGAGTTGTACCTGTGTATGTGCTGCATTTGTGACTACTTTGGGCAGTTTACTATGACAAAATCACTGCTTGCAGTGATGCAGTGTGCAACCTGAAGGAGATCAAGGAAGCAACACCTTCATTTTAAACGCTGTGTTGAATTTCATAAGCCTTGACGAAATACTCAACAAAACTAGTGACTCTAGCAGTGACCTGATTGCACTTGGCAAATTTGTCCTACAGGCTGCTTTAGAGAACGTATGCGCTTATGGTGATTTAGGTCACTTTCGTGAGGCTACTTCTCAAAATACTTCACATTGATGCGTACTATGAATACTTTTCATTATGTGTCTAATTTCGTTGTCCTTTTTTGAAATATCTATGCTGATGGCATAATATATTCTTGTTTCCAAGCTAATTTTAAGCCCTGCATTGTTATTTCAATGCTTAGCAAATCGTATTACAAAGCTAACTTAGTCTTGCGATTTCAATTATGAACGTGGAAGTTCAATTCATTCTACGTTAAGCGTTATCTCGGAGCTTATGATTTGGTAATCTAATAGTATACATGGTAATGGATTTCTCTCTCTCTATGTATATCTGTAAAGGGAAAAGCATTTGATATACAGCTCGTAGGAAAAAGACTCATGCTAGATGTTTGGAAGCTTAGTGTCGAGTTATCTTCCAGGTGCTTGTGACGATATGTATGACGATTAAGGACTCATAAAAATTATATATATATATTATTCGCATAAACGTATAGTAGCATTGGTTAAACTGATTATTTTTTTAGTTATGTCATCCCCATTTTATTACGCTGCATTTTTCTCGACGGAGTGACTTTACTTAAATTCTGACCTTTTAAGTGTAAACCTCGAGAAGTGCAAAATCAATTCAACAAATTTGCAATGATAGTTGAGTAAATCGATAAACCCTATTCATTATTGTCTTCAATACGTTATCCAGAATGTTTATTACTTCTAGATTCTTAAGAAATAACAAGTGTAGAGTAACATTTTTTTAAATCTGAAGGTAATGAGTTTTTTTTTCATGGAAGACAAATTTGCACTAGTAGTGTGCGCTACCATTTTGAGAGGCTGTTTAGCATACTTCAGGTGTCAATATTGGAATAAAAGTTTCTGAAAATAGAAAGTCTGATACGAAACGTTGTGTAGCCTTACAAAACACTCTTAGGGATTCCCCCATGCATGTGTGTACGGAAAGTGAAGCCTTTTTTTTGTGCTTTAATATTATTAATTTACCGAGTCACTCTTGTAACGTTTCCTTTCTTGGGATCAGTAGAGAACTTGGTATCAATAATGACCTTGATGATGAAGATAAATAATTCATAAGCAATAGGTATTAAAAAAGGCTCAAGGTTAAATTTTTAGCATTGCCAGTGCATTTTGCCTTCATATTATTATTTATAAATATATATGTATGCTCTATTTTTTAGTACTATGAGCGATTTTATCAATTGTATTAGGACTTATTGGTAGTACAGGATAATAGGCTTGTCCCCTTTACTGCATGATCGTCAAACCCCTTAAACCATCCTTCTATAAAGGGCGTGCAGGTCTTTTCATATATTTGCAATTGAAACATTAAGCTTTTATTCTATTTCTTATCGTACGTATTATCCAGCAATACAATTTCAAAGGCTTGAGGTATCATGCACAAGTTCTATGCTGCTGTGATGTCTAAAGGAGCCGCCGCTATTTACACGTAGCAAGGGTACTTAATAGAACACGCATTCCTTACAAAGCCCATAAGTTGTACTCCCTAATATAATCTATACTAGTAGGAGCAGCCTAAGAAAGCCTCTGACTTGATGAAATATTGGGTTGTTGGGGTAGATAAGCGCTAACAGTATTCAGTCGGGGTTTCCTGCTCAGGTACTCCTCAAGAGAAGGCCCTGTCGTATGTCCTGACAGGCATTCAATATGTGTAGCGAAGTAAGCAAAAGGAATTTTTTATATAAATTTGAAGCTATATTTATCAAGACTAGCAAATCAAGTCTATGAGGCGTAATTTGTATAAAAGATGGACTATAAACTAGCCCCATAGGTTTTCGATATATGCATTACCGGCGCTTAGGTTCGTCAGCCAAAGGCTACTAATCCGTGGTATCATGTAGAGGTGGTTGGCGTTTGCAACGACCAAAGACGTATCTTTGACAATTTTACAACTGCTTGATGCATTATTGTGATGATAGCTAATTATTATTGTTTATAAACTCCATTATGCGTTTTAATTGAAGTTCTTTTAGTTTTTTTTTTAATATAGTTTATGATAGATTTTCTGTTTTTATTTTTCTGTCGCCTGGTTTATAACGTATTTATGATATTTTTACCGATACATTATACTTGATAGAAAATAACGGGAAGGCTTTTTTCTCCGTTAAATTGCTGCTTAATAATGTAAAGCCCTGAGTTCATTTTTATGTCTGCTTAGTACACATTTTGGCCTTACTGTATTTGAATTTCTATGGCTTGATTTTAATAAATGTCTTTCCTAGTTTATCACGATAATCGCATACATAACCTCACCATCACCAATGAATAAAATATGAGATGCGGCACATACATAATTGAATTTCAAGATGACTATAAAGAATTCTAGAAAATATTAAATACAAGCCAGCAGGCCAGACCACGCATAGTTCACATGGGCATGTTCTCCAAAGAGACACTATTTTTAACGCTATCATCTAGCACACAATTCGTAGAGATGGAGGAGCTTTTAAACATTGTGTTTCCAAACGCCACAGACATACCAGAAGCTTGATTGAGGTAGCCTTCCATTTCTTTGCTATGGTTTTCTGAGGTTAGGTGGGGGTTGTTTGAGTTATTCACACAGGTGCAGCTAAATGTGGAGTAGGTATATGAGTTATTCAGTTTTTTTTAAAAAGACGATTGGGCTTCTATTTCCCACACATTGGCTCGATGGAATTTCCAGTTGTGGCTCGTACTCATTCTGAGTTTCATTTTTAAATACCAGCGGTTTTTCAGGAAATACATGCTATTTCCAAGCCTGCGTCGGAGTAGCTGTAAAGTGTCAAGAAAAGTACCTATGGTCTAGATCAATGAGCATTAGAGGGTTGGTTGGTGTTTATATGTGTCAGATAATGAGTCTTTGCACACAACTTACAACTTTTTATTAGACATAAAAAGTTGACTGAGCGTCTTCTACAAGACTTTAGCCTCAGGACTCCTTTTTTCCCCACATATGACCTTAATACGCTCGGTGATTCTATTGCTTTTAATCCCCAAAGCGTGGTGTCAGCAGTCAGAAACCTTTTTCTCTTTTCATTCAAATCTCTTTTTGCATGCTGGCTCTAGAGTTCCAACTGGAAGTATACCATTTATAGCGCTGACTGAGTGGATAACTCTTCTCCAGGATTATGCTTTTATAGATTTGAGGAACATTTTATCGATTATACTTTAGCATTACAAAATCGGAACTCCTTAGTTGACCTGAAAATACCCATGTGATGACTCAACGAAAACCTACCAGCGTGGAGGTCACTTTTTCATCATCTGGATTGGATTGAAGTCATTTTGGGTGGTCCCAACCTAGGCAGAGGCAAAGATGGAGAGAATTCAACACTTGAAGAGGGCAAAGAGTGTTCCCTTAATACGCTTATCTATTTCAACGTGTTTCATTCATTCATTTAATTTAGGGAAGTAACCGGCGAGGGTTGCTTTAAGTTATTCGTCCTTTCTGACGTGCTCATAATAAAATGTCAAGCCTTGACTTTCAAGTTACTCTAGATTCGTCTGATAGATGAGGTGATGACTGTTGTATCCAGTCGTGTAGTGCTTTCGTCTATAACCCTAGGCTTGTATTCATTTTCATGGACTTTTTCAGGCAGCTGTACGTGCTTAAAAAGTAAGCTTTGGCTGTTGGACTTCACTCATGAATTTCACAAATTTTCCAAATGCTATCAACAAGTTGCCAAAGTGCAGCAATTAAAGTTGATCATTCACTTCTTTTTGATTTCGGTTAAAATGACATTTTTCAACTTTTTGGCAATACAAGGGGCTCGAATGAACCTTCAACATCAGTTGCTTTACTGGATCTTTATGAGTTTGTGCTATAGCAGCGTTTTAGAGTTTTCCGTTCGTTAGACGAATTGAACCATTTCTTGTGGCTAGGCGATTTTGAATATGTGAATTGTATCTGTTATCGATCAGGTGTTTTTTCAATTTTCAAGCTAGGTCTTCTTTCCGTGATGCAAGGGTTATTTCTACGCATTTAATGATTGCAACAGTGAGTTTGTCACTGTGCTTGTACTTGGTTTATACGCGACGTTCCATGTGATCTATTTTACAGTTTGTGCAAGTACGTGCTACTTTGCTCATTGCAGTTTCAGAGGAAGGTTTTTTTTCTAACAGGGAAATTAATAGAAAGCTATGCGGTGTGGGCAATGGGATGTATAAAGACCACAAATTCAGTTGTTGTGGAGGGGTCGATCTTCTGTGAACTAGCCTGCACTCAGTGACAGTACTTCCTCCTCGAGTTCATTCATCATACTCTCATTATTTTATATATATATGGAGAAGTCAGGGGGGGAGTGAGGGGGGACACCTCTAATTTTGTCAAATATGAAGATGGATACAGGTCCGTGGCTAAGCTTAATGCTTAAGCAGGGGAATTCTTTTAGTACACTCTCACGTTTCTCCCTGAAAAGTCGAGTGCTTCGTCATCTTTCGTTGATAAATTTCTAAAAATTTTCCAGGTCAGCAAATCCGCTTCTACTGATTCTGTCTATGATGTATACTTGTCAGCTTCATCACAAATGGCATATGCTTACAGTATTTGCATCAAGTAAATCAACAGTCTCAGGGAACTGCAGAAACAAGAATTGTCGAGCTTCAAGAACGTACCAAGAAGCAATTAAATGATTTTTTATGCATATTTTTGTTTATTTTTTTACTCTATTATTCATTAATTCTCTTTTGTATACAAGGGTCATTATTTATTTTTTATTTGATAGTCGTAATATCTGTAGCTACAAGTCATGAAGATTAAGAAGAAAGAGTTGCGCAAAGGGCTGGCTCAGCTTCCTATCAACTACCCAGACCCCGAAATTCTGCCCGATGCTTTACCAGGTGGCAGAATCGACATGGAAGCTGAAATGGTTCAGGTTGAATTGCTCTGTAAACGGTTAGCGCATAACGAGGTGGCGGTTCGTGATGCGGCACTCGCGGAGGTGCCAAGGTACCTCACTCGCTTGACTGTAGGAATGGAGCAGATGGAGGAGTCGTATGAGGAGGAGATCTTGCAAGTCCGCACCTACTTTACCGAACACCCCAAAGCCGTTAACCCCTATCACTATGATAACGTACCTCGGGCACTGGATGAATTTCGTGAAAAATTTCAGCAACGTGAGCGAAAAGAGCGCCGGCGCATGGCGTTAGAATCTTTGCACTTGCAGCGTAAACGGGAGCAATTAGAGAGAGAATCGTGGGGGCGATTTGACGTGGACGTCGTTCCCTCGTCTTCTACTGAGGTTACCGAGCGTGAAGAGGGGAAAGCAAGGGTGACAACTAGCGATAAGTACGGTTTGGCTTCTAGCGCTAATGGTGCGTTGAGCACTGCGCAGGAGCATAGGGAAAGGTACCAGACGTGGGTGTTGACGTGGTCTGATCTGGAGTTGGTCCTCCTGAAGCTCAGTCGTGGGATCTTTTTCTGTTTATGGCATTCGGACAAGCCGTTGGTGCAGTTGGAATGTGCTCAGCGTATAGCGAATTTGTTGCACGCTCCTCGCACGATCCGCTGCAAGAACCTGTTTTATGGAGCTATTTTTCGTGTTCTGTCGAGGGAGTGGCCAACAATCGATCGGTATCGTATGGATAAGTACTTGGCTCTGGTGCGTAAGCTTATTTTCGAATGGATCAGTCTAATCAAGAATTTAGAGGAAACCGAGGAGGCTGTTGGTGGTCAGGATGAAACCCTGTATCTTCCTAGAAAAGGAAAGACTGTCTCAGCAGGGGTAGCCATGGAAAACTTGAAATCAAAAGCTGCTGTCTCAAAGTCTATCAAACGGGCTCGACATGTCGCAGAGGATATGAACCCTTCAGAAGGGCATGATAAATCTGAAGAGACTGCTGATATAACCGCTTCTCCGACCGCCATTGGGATTCCACGACGGTACATTAAACTCTATTACTCGAATCGTCAGGTACTTATGCAAACCTTACTGGAGTTTTTTTACATTTTCCAAGAGCAAATCTTTCCAAAGAGAACGAGTACGGGCTTGACGATGCATATTTGCGATGTAGCCTTTGACGAATTGTCGAGAGCCTGTATATCGCGAAATCTGTTTCTGACGTTGTCGGCTGGCATTCCTCTATACGCAATGAGCCAGGGGAATTATATCGAGAAGCGTGTTTTGGATAATTTTTTCCCACCCTTGGCAGGCGGTGTGTACACAAAACAAAGGGAAAAACAGTTGTTCGAGCGGAAATTGCATCTTGTCAGGGGTAGCCGCAAATCTGCTGCTAAAAAGGCAAATACGAAGAAGAACACGAGGGAACAAGAAAGTAGAAATGAGGAGGAATGGCATAAGGAAGCTAGGAAAGCTGCAGAAGGCGATACAAAGACTATTTTACTAGAGATAGCAAAGTGTTGCCAGCTGTACGCAGTCGCCAGAGGAACGGTTTACGCAGTTCGAGTGATGTTTTCTGAAGCAGAGCTAGTACTTCAGCAAGCCGCTGATCCTGATGCACACCAGAGCCTTACTCCCATTGCCCAGCGTCGCCGCTTAGAAAAGGAGATTGATGAAATGAATGAAACCCGAAAAATCGTCAAGTCTGAGCGCGCAACACTTCTCCAACAAAAGCGTAAAGACAAGAAGCAAGCGCTTTTCACAAAGGTTAAGCTGCAAAGGAAGGCCACGCGGGAAGTCCATAACGGTGACGATTGCAGTCCTGAAAAAGGCATCTTGGAGGAAGGGTTAAGGAAAAAAAAGAAGATGCCCCGTAATACAAAGCGGAAAAAGAATTACCAGCTGACAAAAAAGGATCTCTACAGTGATCACGATGACGACGATACACACGAGAAATTATAAAAATTCTTCAGATGATAAGAGGGATGCTTAAGTTATTAAGAAGGTGTGCTAAAATTAATTAATTAATCCATTCATAATGCCATGCGGATAATAAATATCTCTTTCCTTTTTTGTGAAGTGCATAGCTCTGTCTACTCCATATCAGCTGCACATATCATCTAAGCCATTTGAAGTTATCACTTGAATGGGTTTTGTGGTTTTTCACCTGGGCTGACTACCTTTTTATGTTTTTGGAATAGAACGTCCTCATGAGTAGCTTTTTTCATTTCATATTCTTTTCCTATATATATTTTTAGGAATAAATGTAAAAATTACATAATGGATTTAATTAAAAATGGCTTATTAGAATTGTCTATTATCTCACTACTAATGAACCTCCATCAATGCATATTTAATTGTTTGTTTGCAATATTGGGGCCATCACTCGGAATAACTGTTGCTAGGGCTCTTGTTTGCAATGAACCGTGCCATTGTACCGTTTAGGAGCCTGAGATTACCCTATAAGAAATATAAAGTAACAGTAATACTTTTTTTCTTAAAACTTTCCATTGTTATGAAGAGGAGGAAAGGGGTTTAATCATCATGGATGCAGGCAATGGACTTTTAAACAGAAAATTGTTAGCGTATGGCCGGGATCGCTACTTCAACACGTTCTACGGAGATGCTTTTAGCGAACATTTTTCTATTCTGACGATATGATACATCGAGAGCGATGAAATACCACGAGTTGGCAGGCAAATGAACTTCTCCTATGTGATTTTTTTTCAACTAAAGCGTGGTTTGGAAGAAGTGTTTGTTTCACAGAACTCAGTGTGGCGGATTTATTCCCCAAAAGAGAGGCCGCCCCATTCAATCATTCCCACGATGGGTGGTGCAGGCGCTATTAGATCTCTGCTGAGGAGAGGGGGGGGATACTTTGCTAAACTAACCGTAGCAAATCCGAGCCGCCTCTCTCCAAGTTTTATTTCTTGATATAACTCACCCATAACACACCCATCTGCAGATATCTTTGAGAAACCACCCTGCTCTTAAGCGACTTTTGACTGGTTGTTCAGTATATCTTCTTTGAAAAGAAAGATGATAACCTCTAGTATGATGCCACTTTCGAAAGAAAAAATTCTTCTCCCTTTGAACTTTCAGAGGTCTTTTTTTTCATTCTCAGACAAGCCGGTCCCGCCTGCCGAGGCGCCAAGGGGCTTGATATAGCTTTTCATATTAAAGTGATGAGGCTTGACTGTTAACAATGAGCACTGTGCTGGAGATATCAAGATATTTAATGCAGTAGGTATAACACTATCTTTCTAAAACGGAATCATATTAAACTGAAGGCCAGCTCTGTTTCCAAAAAGGTTGTTTTCTCTATGCAACGAAACTCAACCCTACTCATCTCTTTGGAGGTAATATTATTGTAGAGTAGCCTTGTGAAATACAACAAATGTACGGCTGATTACTTATTTTCCAAAAAACGCACTCTTTTGAGTATTTCCTTTTTCTTTTTAGTTGACTACTTGTCTGATCAACATCTTGGGAGGTGTTAGACCATGCACGAGCAAGCATATCCATTTTTGTGGCTTCATTTTGTTTTGGTGCTCATTAATGACTTCTTATGTATTCGAAGACGTTAACTGCGAAAATTAAAAATTTAGAAGATGAAATCCCACAGATGAGCACTAACAAAATAAAAGCTAACGAACTTTCAGTGGAATTTCCAAAGATGGAAAATGTTCTTCTTTTGCAAGAACATTTCAGGTATCATAAGCGAGTTTCAGTGCACTTAAGCGATTTTAACGAGATACTATACTTGTCATTGTGTCAACTCTTTTGATCATGAATTGGAATATACACACCTTTTTTCTAAGCTTAAATGAATTAGAGGTGTGTGCGTGTGCGTATGAAATTATCAAAATTCTCTTTTTTTCCCTAATTATCCATATGGGAAAGAACATTTTCATAATTTTTTTTTGAGAGAAACGTAAAGTGATAGTTTGTACTATAGTTCATATCAGCATATGCCAGTGGTGAGTACGCCCTTCGTTCTGGAGCTCCGCCCTCCTGAGGAGTTTGTTTTGTCAAGAACTGGGGAAAGTTTAAGCCAGAGTACCACAAGAAATAACTTCTCCGCGGCAGTGAACAGCATTATCATCACGGAGGAGCCTTATGAAGGTCATCCGGATGTGATTAAGCCTGGGAAGACTAAACCCCAGAAGCAATCAAAGCTGAGTGAAGCGCCAGTTTGTGTTTCTTTGGTTGCAAACATAGATCATTTGAGTTCAAATGTAGCAGCTGTCGTATCCCTTGCTGAGGCCGCAATCGCGGAGGAATCCACTAGCAACTGTATAACTCTAGCGAGCTATATTTTCAACTCTAATCTGGAAGCTATCAAATCTGAGACAAGAGGTGCTAGAAGCGAGGGGAATCCTGCAACGGCTTCTCAGGATGCTAACGCGTCGAGAAGCTCTGCGAGTGCGTCTTGTTCCCCTTTAGGTTTCGATGTTTACCACTTAACCTTGAAGAGACCTCTTTTGTTTAACTCTGATACTGGTAATGTGCGTTCGCTTAGAGTGAAGGCCTCTGCCATGGGGGAGCTAGAGAGCACGAATAATTATGGTGAAAATGATAGCAATCGCACGAAAGCTTCAAAATCATACCACGGACCACGGAGGTTTGTCGTACGTTTAATAGGAATTCAACAAACTGTGCTGACGGATGCACAAGTTGCTCTTTTTTCTTCTTAGGCCTATAATTCGGAAGAAAGAAAAACTCGCTTCTGTGGTACATGTGCTTATCCATGTTCTGACAAGACGACTTCTGTGAATCATGCCAACATTAATGAAAAACTTGGAATGACTTCTCAAAAGCAGCGTATTATATTGTTATGATTGCCGTTTATATATATTTTTTAAAGAAGAGAATAATTCGCACGCGTTACGTTTAACTAATAGATGTTAAAAAGTATATAAATAGAGAAAGTGAGCGCTATGATATAGCGTAAAAGATTCTCCGTGATGTGATATTGTATTATTTGCGTTTGTGTTAGTATAATTTATGGTGTAAATCTTTTCTTTTTTTAGAAATTATTATTTTTATCCTTACCAAAGCATTTCACATAGTTAGTCCATATAGGAATGGATTCTTATTAACATTCATTTCACTTATCCAGATTCCATTATTTTTTTATCAACACATGATCCCACCTAAGTTTGAGAGGTAGTGCAAACCTAACGTGCTGGGGAGAGCCCCAAGTCCCTCTTTCGAATCTTGCATTGTTGATGCTAGAGCTACGCATTGGGAGGTAAGCAATTCATCTGAAGCGTTCATCTCGGACGTGCTATGGATCTTCTCACATGAGTCATATGAGGGTTGTTTGCGGACAAAAGTTGTGAGGTAAGTTTGCTATGTTTACTTTAGGAGTGTCGCAATATCTTCACACAAGCGAGCATCAGGGCGTTCATCCATACCACGCAGAGAGGCTCTCATACAGCCGAATGATACTGAAGCGAGGTTGGGGGCATGCTCTTTATGCTTGAATATTTCAAACTTTTTACATTGTATTTGAAGAGCAGCCTTAGGATCTTTGTAAACTTCCATGGAGGCGTATGGGTCGAACGTGGCGTCATCAACACACATACAACGTATATATACATGATACACTTTCTTATTCTTCTACCAACATCATGGCAAGCTGGATATTAACTGTGTTGTGGCGATACTACAACCATTTCTAGTATATACATTTTGAAATAGTGGCGCTAATATGGAGCAGTTTGGTTAGCAATCACAGGAGGTGTGTGCAGTGCTGATGGTGGATCGAATATGAATTTCTTCCGCTTGCTAAAACATGTAAAAAAAGTGTTCTGTATGTGCGCAGAGAAGAGTGGGCCTCTTCGTAATACATGGACGCGGCGTTTTCTGCGAATTTCAATCGTTATGGCATTTCGAAAGCACCCCGATATTATGAGCTCCCTCCTACGCTTTTATAAAACGCCATATACAATGAGCACTATTGCTAGATAGGCTATCTGAATACCTTTAGGGGTTCCTTTTTTCACTTCTTCGTCCATCACTAGTCATGCGTTTAACATCCAGCAGGCTGTTAACGAGGGTAGGAGTTGGTTACTTGTTATCTTGATCATTTATCCAGGTTACATTTGGGTTCTATTAGAGAACTCACGAAGGCATAAAAAAGGCGATGACGCTTTATTGCTTTTGCATTGTGTTACACTGAGGGGTCCTGGGTTCTCATGGACGTCTCAACAACGTAAAAGCAGGGCTTGAACGCCTTTAGTGTATTTGAAGCTGTATCTGGAGACCAGATAAGCCTTAACAGTGTTCAGTCGGAGTGTTTCGTCCGCTTGGGCGGTCTCTGGGGAGGCCCTGCCGAATGCCCTACCAGTGCCTATACATGCCTACATGCCTCTTCCTGTGACAGGAAGGTGCGCAGGCACTTAGCTTCACCAAAGAGCTACTAGTCCGCGGCACCCCGAAGAGGTGGCTGGCATATACCACCGACACTTTATTAACAGTTGTTTCCTTCGTTATCTTTATTCTTTAATTACACCCCATTTCCCTCTTTCTTGATCATTTTCGCCTCTTGTTAGCCTTAAAATTTCATTACACGAATCAATATACTTCATGTGATGGGAGTGTGTTTCAAACATAGATTCATTTTTTTGTTTTAGCTATTAGTATTTGTAATTTCATGCATACAGTTTCATTTGTATTTTTGTGTTTGAAAATGTTACCACATGCTGCGATGTTGTTTCGATGCTTTCGATGTTTTTTTTTTTGCTAACCTAAATTCACAAGTACAGTATCCTTATAATTTCTTTACCAATAATAGGTATACATCGAGTTTCTGGTTCTCGATTCTATGGTCTCCGTCGCGCAAACGCTCCGGTGTTTATTAGAGGCTGAAGGCTCCACCTTTCATTCCGCCCTACATGCTGTTCCTCTTCCCGCCATGGGTGGTGGGATGGGTATCGTTGCTAGTGAGGATGTGGAGCTTGGTACTACGCTTGCTACCCTGGCTTTCACGAGCATGTTAACTACCACAAAGGCGCGCTACAACCTTGCACTTACGGAGGTGGCTTTGAGGAGTTTTGCGGAGGAAAGGATGGGTGGAGGTTTGCCAAAAGGGCAGGTGCTGCGTTTCGCCGCGGAGCTGCCGAACTCTGAGGAGATGGAAGAGCATAGCGGATGCCGTTCGGAATTTCACTTCCAGGATGCCGTGAGGGCGACCATAGCGAATCTGAAGCAGCAGCTCAGTCCCACGGAGACGATGACAAGCCATATCGTACTGATGGCGTCTCTCTACCGAAATGCCAAAACGACAGCGAAGAAATTTAAGGAGGAAGCTAGTCGAATCGGCGGAAAAAGCCATACTGACGGCGCTCATCGCGGAACCCTAGGGGAAGGTAGCGCAAATTCTACCTCCACCGTTATGTTTCGCTACACAAGCGAAAATGCATGGATGCAGGGGTGGATGAATGCCTTGCCTACCGCCTATAATAACCTGTTGGAGGTGTCAAAGGGGGTATACATGGGTGTGGATCTCATGGAGAGTTACTTACAGGCTGTCGATGCACCACCTGTGGGAGATTCTGAATTGCGGAAGACTCTGTGGTTCGACCGGCAGCGCTCGAAAGTGGCGTGTGAGCAGGCTGACGTTGCTAGGCGATACCAGCACTGCCTTGACGTTTTACTCTGCTTAAGAGAGCTCCCGGTCGGCGTGAATGAGGAGGGTGCACGCTTGTCAACAGAGATATTTGATCATAATCGTGAAGGGGAATCGGTCGCGCAGGCGCAGAAGGGTACTTCCTGTACCTTCGATCAATTTTTGTGGGCTTTTAACACCCTCATGAGCCGCGGCTTTGCCTTTCATGATGAGGTATGGGTAATGATGCCGTTGGTAGATTACTTCAACTATGCCCTGCACGCAAACTGCACAATGTTTCCACAACGCTGCAGTGTTCTCAAGAAGAGACGTAGTAGGAATAACAATCGTGAGAGAGGCGCCGCCATTCGTAGCGATGCTGAAATCGATTCCAAACCCACTCCTTCAACCAATTATATCAGAAAAGGGGGGTTGGCCGCACTATCCCCACGAAACGGGTGGGAATACGTTTTCCAGGCTATTTCCCCAATAGATGCGGGCGAGCAGGTCTGTATTTCCTACGGAGCTTATTCGGATTTTGAGTGCCTGTTGTGGTACGGTTTCACCCAACGTCCGTATTTACTCCCAACCACCGCATTACCTTCCGTACCCGCGCGTGATCTTGAGTCGATTCTTTTCTTTCCAAATTCCAAAAGCGCGAGGGTGTTTTTACAGAAAGTGGGCATTGACGCGAAGGGTTTATCAGACCTGCATGCGGCTTTACCTCGTCTTCAAGATGAAAGTTTCCGCCAAGTTACCTTTGAGCGCTTTTGGAAGGAGCGCATGGCGGCTTTTTCTGACAAGAAATCCGGCAGAAAGCCGGAGTACGATAAATGGCAGAGTGCGCTGCAGAAGGCCTTTGCGTTTGTTTTCTCTTCTCTACAAGATGCAGATGGGGTGTATTCCGATAAATGCGAGGGCATCACCTGGATAGATGAGCTCGTGATCTGCTATCTCAAGACTCCAGATCATTTGGCTTTTGAAGGTTCTCATAGTGGGGCTTCAATGTTTCAGGAAGAGAGTGTGCTTTTAGATAGATGGTGCCGCCGTTTGGCACTACATTGGCAATCATTTCTTAGTGCAACGGTTTCTAATGGCTTGAAAACCAGCTGCAGCGCGCAGAAATGCACACTTGGCGTGTTTGGCGCTTCTTTTCAGATGCATGAATGGATTCACGGCATTGCTCGAGGATACTGGAATCTGTTAAGAAACGAAATCTCATCCTCAGACGCTCTAGGAGAGACGGGAACATTATCACTTTCTTCTTTGCAGGATGCCAAACTATTTGTGCTGCGTGCGATCGCATGGATGGAGCTGTACTCGAATTATTGTTGGCATGATTGCTACTTTCGTCTGAACGATATTGCGGCAAACACCAAGGAAGGCTCTGTTGGAGTTATTATGCATAGACCATCGGCTAATGACGTTTGGAACTTTTCAGCGCGATCCATGGGTTTAACAGCTTCTTTGGATTCGTGGCTTCTACTACAATACCTTGCGCTGGAGGCTAGTGACGTTGAGCTTCTTGCGTATCTAGACTTTGAGTGTGAGTAGGCGGGAGGGGAGGGGAGAGAGATGCGTAGGGGATATTTGTTGTTTCTCTTTCTCATAATCAAATTTTCATGATAGTTATCTGAAGGCTCCCGCATCTGGCTGTATAATATCCCCTTTTCTTCATCACGCAAATATGCCGTGTGCTTGAGTGTGGGAATACATTCGCTTTTTTTCTAAATATTGAGCTTGGTCTACTTTTTTTGTGCGCTTAAGTCTGCGTGTAGGCTATCATCACTGCTTTTTCTGTGTTCGACTTAGGCAAAAAATGTTTTACTGAATCAAGAACTTTCCAGAGGGACGATCATCTTTTCACTTTTCTTCTGATTTTTCTTTCCCTTTTTAAATGCTCATTCCTTTTAGTGCTCACGCGTAAAAAAATTCTTAGCAATACTAATTACGCCTCATAATACAATACCCTAGGTGATAAAAGAACGATTGCATCTCTTATTTTTAGTTTTATTTATTTATACTTTTAAATTGTTCTTTGTGGTTAAAGTGATTACTTAATTATATCTTTCAAGTTCATTTGCTTACCTGGTCTTTTGAATGCTTGGCTCAAAAAAGGCTTCCACCTTAACATCCTTCTGCCTGCGAAGGTTTCAGCAGCGCCTGGAAATGTTTTCTCCTCATCAATTGATCGGGTTTCGTTCTGCGGGCGCCACTCACCTTCCCCTCTCTGCGAGAAAATCTCTTTCGACATTTTTTTTAGTCACGACGGAAGCAAGGCGCCTTCAAAGCACAAGCACTGCGAACACACGAGGGGATAACACATTACTGTCATCTTCTCCACGCCCTTCTTCGGCTCCACCTCCAATTCAGCAACTTTACAAATCTAGCCACCGTGGCCGCGGGGATGTGGCGATGCCCAAAATCCACACCCCAAGGCCGTTAAAAACGGAGGCTACGAGGATTCTCCCCTCTCGCTCCTCCTGCGCGGAGGATACCGGTCCCATTCCCGAGCGTTCCCTCACCCCTCTCCAGAAACGGCAGCTTCTTTTTAAGGATAAGGCTGCCTTCGTTCTCACACCACAGGCCCTTCGCCGTCTGAAGTATTTAATCTCCCAGTATAACGGCAACCGCAATGGCTCTCCTGCGAACTCGCCAGAGGGTGCGAGTTCGAGCGAGAAGCCCGTGGGCATCCGCGTTGGCGTGCGTCGTCGTGGTTGTAGTGGTTATAGCTATACTGTGAACTATTACTTTAACGATCGTGATAGCGACGGGGTAAAAAAAGGCCCCGATTCGTCGACGGCTACTGCTGCGGGAAAGCAGAAAGGGAGTTCCAGCGGTGGCGGGCTTAGCGATGTAACAGTCGAGCAGGATGGGATAAAGGTGGTGGTCGACGGCAACGCATTGTTTTATGTCCTCGGCACCGAAATGGACTATGTTGTTCGGAATGTGGAGGAAAAGTTTACGTTTAAGAATCCTAATCAAAAACATAGCTGTGGGTGTGAAGAAAGCTTCATGCCATTCGGTGAGGATGATGACGACGATTGATGAAGAGAGAAGGGAAGCTACGAGCAGAAGAATTATAGCAAAATATTACAAAGCGACGAAAAGTAAAGTAGGTAAGGATTGGCTCCAATGAGTTATGATTCTGGTTTTGGATTGCCGTTATGTAGAGAGTATATATGCATATATTTATACTCTTTTTTTTGAGCACATTTGTTTGGAATGTGGAGTGGTTTCGTGGCCTCCATATTGTGGAAGCAGTTGAGTGCATGTTATGAGGTTAATCAGTTTGACGGCTTTCAAAAAGACATTTATCACTAACTTTATCTCGCGTAAAGAACCACTTTACGACCATCGCTTTGCTATTTTTTTCATATGAGCTTTTAATGTTTATCCAACATGCTGAAAGAGGATGAAATTGCCAGACACAAGGCACATCGCTACAGGACACTGTGGAGTGGAGGAGGGATACGTCAGATTAATTAGATTCATTGCTCTTAATGACGTGATTAGTTCTATTAATATTCATGAGTTTCAATTAAACTAGAGTAGGGCTCGGGTTCCAGAATAGGGTATTGTTGCTCTTCTCTAACCTCGAGGCGTGCCTTTTATTTTCCTTTTCCGAGGAGGATGGTCGAATTTGGCCTTTTTGTCTGTTTTTCTGTCTAAAGAAAAGCCCCTTTAAAGCGTCTCTGATGGAGCTTGCCACATGTGCTGGTGTTCTTGAGATGCTTGCGGATAGTGAAAAGTTTGTTAACCCTATCTTTCTATTTATATATACACGCGGATCGATTCGTTTCCCTTTGACTAATCCTGATTTTCTTCTCTAATGAAAGTGATCACTGAAGAGAGTACATATGTTGCGCTTTACCATCTTGCGTCGTTATGATTTTCACCCTATGAGGATATATACATGTCTTTTTCTCGAAGCTGACTCTTCTCTCTTTCTCTCTACTGCTTGTTCTCTCAGATATGTATGCAGCATACATGCAAAGACTTCGCACAAAAGAGAATTCCAACTGATGGACAGTTTCCATATGTAACCTTGTAGGATCTATTCACGGGGTAAAATAGAATCTGCAGGTTATTTTTCAAGGTCAATTGTTTCTTCAAAAGGGTCACTTGTGTGGCGGCGATTCTCTTTACAGAACCTCTTTCCCTAAGAGGAGGGGATACATATGGAGAGCGATGAGTATTCTGGCTGAAATTTTCTACCTCTGAATAACACAGGAAGCTTCTCATTGACTAATGTCATGCGAATGATGAGTTGACTCCATTACGGATCTATTGATGATTCTCAGCAGGTTGCGTAGAAACTGGGGTGCTGCGGCGGAGCGCAGCACACAAATTCACAGAAACGATTCAGCCGTACATATTGTATGCAGCTACCATACGTTTCTTCATCTCCTTTTTAGACCAAACAGCCAACAGTAACATTAAGGGATCCTCACAAGTCGGTGGTGGGGGAGAGGGGGAAAGTCCCCGCTGCCGGGCTTTTCTTACAATGCACGTATTCCCACATCATGTGGTATGAGGGGACATCACCAGAGTCACTTTAACTTTACAACCGCCGCAGGTATTTATTGAAGATGGAGATCATCATCGATGGTGGCGAAAAGCCGGGATGGCTAGCTTTTAGGGTAGGGTGGATGGCGCCTTTTACATCAATAGAGCAAAATATAGATGCATCCCTTCCTAAGTGGAGTACATCCCCTTACCAATCTTTCCACTCATTTGCCTTCGATTATTTTTATTCCTTTTACCACCTTTTATGGTTGTGAGCCTTCATTTTATGCGTTAGGCCACTGACCAGGTCTTTATAACACATGTTTTCCGACCATGAACTATTGATAACGGATCAAACACATTTTTATTGCTTCTCATCTGTAACTAGAGGCATTTTTGACATATTTTTATGACATCCCTTTTCCCGTCCTCGGAGGTGTTATCCGTTGAACACACACATACATTTGTTTTCCTGTTTCTTGAATACATTTCTTATATATACATATATATGCCGTGTGTGCGGAGTAGCTAGACGTTAATTCTGAGTAAGAAAAAGACACACCCGCGTATTGACGGCGACAAACCGCATCCAAGTTTGTACTAAATGGTACCTCCAGGCTCAAGGCAATTTATTGCTGGTGGGCGTGGTAAGCAGCAGTACATTAATCGCTTTACCAAATTCTTTTTCACGGAGCTCGACAAAGGGTTTTCCTCGCCGTGGATTTTGTTTTCGTCGGGTATTTTCTTCTCCTACCTTGCCTGGCGTGTAACGGAGCGTTATGTGGAGGACCGGCGCCGGCTTCTCGCCGCGCACACCCCCACCCAGCGCATCCCGTTGGAGGAAAGCCACAACATCTTCTGGGGGTTTCACGGCCCTGTCGATCCCCTCGACAAGGTTCTTGTGGAGGAGCGGGTGCCGGACGGTGGGCGGTACGTCGTGAGCGGGGATTCCGCCGCGCGTGAGGAGGAGTTGCGGCGGCCGAGTGTGATTCACAGCGAGCCGAGCGAGCAGCGCGCGCGGCCCTCCCCGCATAACCCCACCGGCGAGGTGGACGTCGTTTGCTTGGAGCTCTCCGAGTACGACTCGCGGCTGCGCGATGATGTGTACTATCGAAGCGTGCACTACGTCGCGAGGGGGGGGGGCGGCCCGTCCGCCTCCGCCTCCGCCTCCGCCTCTGCCTCCGACGAGCGAAAGGGGGCGGCGGCCACCACCGCAACGAATACGCGGCAGGCAGGGGGGGTTTCTTCATCCTCGCCCGCCGCTGCTGTGGTTAGCGGCGGCTATCTGAACTTCATGCCTGGCGGTGGGGAGGGGGTGATCCACGGCATGGTGAAGTGCAAGGGGGTGACCACCCTTAACAACTGCGTTCCCTACGGTGGCCACCTCGAGAGCGAGATCTCGCGCAAGCTTTTGCTGAGTTTGGCGCCCGTTCACGTCTTGAGGAGCGCGTCAAAGGTGTTTTTGCCGGTCCGCTTCACCACTGTGAAGGAGGTGCCGGTCGAGACGTTGGTGGTCGGCCTTCACAGTGGCGAGATCCCACGGTGGCTGAGCAACTCCTTTCCTAACTTTAACGTGAATGTGGTGGAGGAGGATGGAACGTTGGTGGGAATTTGCCGCCGCTTCCTTGGGTTTCGCGAATCGAGCAACCTCAGTCTTCGTATTGGGAACCCCATCGATTACCTGCGCAGCCTGGCAGCTAACCTGGTGGCAGAGCATGGGGGAGCCGGTGGTAAGATTGACAAGCGCTATGACCTCGTGCTTATCGATGCAGTCGACGGGGCTGGGCAGCTGAGCACGCAATTCGGCCACCTCGAGGCGCTTAACAACCTCCGAAACTGCATGAGCAACAACGGATGCGTTGCTATCACGTTACCGAACAAAAACGCGTCTTTTCTCTACAACATGGTTCAAAACTGGCGGATGGGATTCGCGGGGAGGCCGGTGGTGTTGATCCACTGTTACACCGCGCCCTACACGATTCTGATGACGTTTCAGGATGATGCAGCTCGCGGGATGGCAAACATTGGTAGCGTCGCAAACGTGAGGGAATTCCAGGATCTGCTCCGCGCACATCTTAAGCACTACGGGCAGGATCGTGTGCCGTTCGACTTCACAAATGAGATCCACGAAGATAACTTTAAGGTGCTGATGCCCGGGGAGCGGTATGACACGGCTGCGTTTTTGCCTCGTGGGCATCCAGAACTCGCCCAGCCCGTGGGCGGTGCGGAAAAGGGGCTGATGAAAGGGTGGAATGCGTGGTTGCGGAGCGTAGCAGGGAAGTTTATCACCCCAGGTCAGCGTGCGGATATGCGCTTGAATGATACCTTTAATCGGTAGGAGTAAAATCCTTTTCTTTCTCGTCACCCCTTCCGTGAGACACCAACGAGCACACCATCTTCGGAACCTTCAGCGGATTTGTGGATCTTAGCGCGATAACAAATGGCCGAAATCATCAGGGCGTAGTCCGGCAATAATAGGACGGATGTGTGTTCCTTTCTCCGTGTTTCCTTCTCTATTATTATCGCTTCTTTGGAGTATGATACTCTAGATCGCCTTCTGGTTGATGTAGGTGTAGTGTGCATGGCCATTTTACCCCAAAAAGTGAAGATAAAGAAAACGCGCATGTTTGCCTTGTTAATACTGCTGTTCTGAGCACTAGATATAGTGAATGATTTCTTGATCTGTGCTATTGCAAACAGTTCTCTTCAATAGAAAGAGATTTCTCTTTCCCAAGGCGATTAATACTTTCTTCCGAGTCTGTGCCAAACCCGCTGCAGAGTAGGTGTTATTCTGTAGGACAAGCTACTTATGAGGGGGGAGTCAACGCACCGTTGTCTTGGAGTGCCTTTCTTTGATGAAGAAGAGGGGAGCATCACCCGCAGCGATCCTGCGGGTGACGTTCCCACCCCCATTAGGGTACCGTTTTAGTAGCGGGGTATCACAAAAGGGTGGGGGGTATAGGTAATAGAAAGGATGGCAGAGATGAAGGAAAATTGGGAAAGCTGAACCGATAGGAGGCTGTTGAGCACTTGGTTAGGCGAGGTGGTGCCCACGACATCTATCCTGTTGGCCACCCGTGGCTTTTCTTCAGCTTTATTTGGTGTGTGGATGTGCCACCTATTGCACTTCCTTTTTTTGGCTAAAGAGACAATTACTGAAGGGTATCGGTACGTAATAGGTGCATGGAGGTGGTCGCAATGTGTGGTTCATTTATTTGTTGATTTTCTTCTTAAATTATCTTCTCCTTATATATGTAGTCTTCAACTATGAGGTTATGCATCCCTACTGTAAAGTGAGAATGTTTACCTACGGCGCTGGACAGCTTATTTACCATTATAGCAGTGGATGCATTGCGAAAAGTATATCGAAAGAGGACGTCTCTCTTTTCTAAGGAACATATAAACAAATTGACTATTATAGGTACCAATGCTTTTTTTCCCAGACGTGTGCCTAGCGATGTGTTTTGAACTTCGTGTATTTCCCCTCTTCGGGTCGCATAGTATATTTCCTTGCGTTATTTTTCTGCCTATTTTCCCTTAATCTTCAGACTTCGCTTCTT